TCTTTTAAATCTTAAAAATACATTCAAGTATCTTAACTATTAACAAAAATGTATCTTATTTGTGTATCACTCGGCTGTAGATCCTCAAATCATCTCTGAATTGGTGCTGACATTGTCCTTCCTTCTGGAGGTGGCTACTTTTGTTGCCCGAGGGTCCCTGTGTATGTTGTAAAGAAGCCACCGCTCCAAGCTTTCTCCCATGATAAAAATTAGTAAACTAAACGTGAGATTGTAGTCTCAATCCCCATCCCCAGTCTGTTTTGGGAATTAACTTGTATCTGGGCTTCAATATCAAGATGTGGCACTTCAAGTTTAGATTCACTCATCATCTCACTTATCAACACATTTGTATTGCTGTCTGTGTCTCTGTTAGGTTGATTAACCCTCTCAGTATGTCTTGGTGACCTTTGTCACTGGGACTAAGGGTAAGGGAAATTGCTAAATTTTGGGTTGTCACTAGAACAGTAATAGAGGGGAAATCTTCCAATGGAATAATTGTTCCAGTGACTACAGTCTAAAGCAGGTTATAAATGTGTCTATTTTTTTTTCAACCCATGGGCTGAACAATACAATAGAACAGATATCTCCGTCAATGCTTACCAGTATTGATGGACGAATCCCCTGCTGTTTGCATTGTATTCTGACAGCGGCCAGCTGAGCTAGCAGCTGATTGGTTGCTAGCTCCGTTGGGCCAATAATTTTTCAACTAGCTCCTTTGACTCTGATATGCTGGGTGGAAGGGTGCTAACAATGGCACCCAGGGTGTGAATTTGGGCTGGTTCAAGAATCAGACAAAATTTGACACATGTATAGCCAACTTTAAAGAGGAATTTTCCCTAGTGGGATGCAGATAGCCAAATAAAATCTGACAGGGTTGTAAGCATTTCCTACTTTATCCATTAACACATTAGCATTAACGAACATAACACTTTATACATTAACGAAATACATTAATTTGTTTTTGAGAATAAACTGTAGGTAGAAAACTAAAATATAGGGGTCTATTCATTAAGCTGCCGTAGGCAGCTGAGTGAACAACCGACCCCAAGTGAAGTGAGCCGAACGATGTTCGGCTATTCACTTCAGGCTTGTACTGCTGATTTCAGCCGTATATCGGCTTGCTTCGTGTGGCTTCGGGTCGACCGAACATGCTCAGCAGAAGGAGTTCGACTCAGCTGATCCAATATCAGTGACAGCTAGCTCCACTGACTGTTTTCTATTGGTCGGGTCGTTCTGCTGCCGTCAAAAAAAAAAATCACTATAGGAATGCATAGCTAGATTCCTATTGGCTATTTCACTTTGCAATAGCCAATAGCAAACTAGCTATTGCACCCGCCCTCTGCTGCTGTCAATCACTAGAGAACTTCAGGTCAATCACGATGGAGAACTTCAGGTCCCCTCTGCTGATTGACAGCAGCAGTGGGCGGGTGCAATAGCTAGTTTGCTACTGGCTATGGCAAATTGAAATAGCCAATATGAATCTAGCTATGCATTCCTATGGTGATTTTTTTATTTCTCTTTATTCTGATGGCAGCCAACAGGTCCGATGTCAGAAGAAAAAAACCAGAGCTGGGAAAGGTTTACTCTGCTCGATCGAGCAGAGTAAACCTTTCTAGGAGAAAGTGTTTCTCTCCTGGAGCGCCCGGGAGAGTTGGGCTGTCTGGAGATCAGTGTCAAGGGACACTGATCTTTCTGTGCAAGTGGCTTTCGGCTTTCACCTCAGCTCAGTCGAGCCGAAGCATATGCCTTCGCTCGACTGAGCCGGCTCGGCCGACTTCGGGAGTTGTACGGGCTATAGTGAATAGCCCGTTCAGCAGCCCTTCGGTTCTATTGAACCAAAGGGTTCCTGGGGCCGAAGCTAGCCGAAGGATCAGCTGAAGCTATGGCTAGATCCTTCGGCAGCTTAGTGAATAGACCACATCATTTTCAGGAACAATAAAGTATGTGTAGACCCTAAATCAATATTTTCTTGTTTATCTGTTGAAAAGTTGTGTTACCTGGACATAATGTTGGTAACAGCATTTCCTATTGCAGGCTAACAATGCTAAGTCACTGCTTCACAATTGGCAGCAGTATTGTGAGCCTGCCATGGAAATTAGACTGTCAATCAGGTCTGGGCAAGGCTCATGCAGACCTGATAGACAAAGTGAAAGAGCTTGCACATGCTGACAATGCAGCAGCTAATTATGAGGCAGTGGCTTAGTATGGTCAGCCTGTAATACAAAGTGCTGTTACTTATTGGATCTCCAGGGAAGAAACTTTGCAACAGTTTTACAAAAATAATAATAATAATAATAATAATAATTTGCTTTAAAAACCCTGTAAACAGTGAGGCAGGATGCCAAGCATTTTAAAAATAGATATCGAGTTTACATACACTTTAAATTACAAAATGTCTTTTAATAGCAGAGGGGTTTTCTTTAAGCTTAGTAATAGGCCATGTTTATTAGCCAGATTCATGCTGGCAACATGCCCAAACAATTCTGGGTAGAAATGCTTTAGCAGTTTCACAAGTGGTAATTAAACATAATTGCTAACTTTACATGCTGCATGATTCGGGTATGTTATCTCTGAATAGTGTACATACATACTGTATGGCTATACTGATTGAATCCATTAGCATACATTTTAGGTAATTCTAGTCTTCAGATGTTTATTTACAGCCATTTGGCTTCAATTTTCATCCTTTTTATCATTTGGCACAACATTATATTACAAGATATTGGTGGCTCTTCTAGAAAAGCATGTCTGTATTCAGCGGATTGAAAATAAATATAGATCTAAAAAAATCGATACCATTTTACAATTCTAAGCTGGAGTTCACTGTTTTGAGAAATTCATTAAGTCAGTTAAATTAAGCAGTACCAACATATGTTTTTGTGAATGTTTTCTGAATTTGCATTGTGCATTACTGTTTAGTGTAAGCATTATCCATTGAGTGTAGTGTCAGCTGGTTTAATTAGCTAGGTGAAATTATACTTTTTTACAGAACATATACAAAACTGGCACAGTTAGAAAATATATAACAAGGTGTATTTATTTTTCTTAAAGTGTGCATAAGCCTTAGCAAATAACTTTTTTTGCTTCTTTTTGGTGAGTTAAATATACCATTAAAATTGTTTTGTTATATCAGTATGGTAAGTGCACAAACCACATGTGAGGTCCTAGCTTCCTGCACTATATGTCTGTGCTGCACTGTTGTCAGTTAGCTATGTTTCCAGCTATATGGACTAAATATCGGGGAAAAATAAGTCACAGACATAGATGGACTAAAGAAGATTTCCCCTATGTTACAGAGAAAGGGACAGGGGTGTTTTATTTCTAACACACTTCCTGTCCTACAGCAACAAGACTACTGCTCCATAGATAGGGTAAAGTGAGTGAACGTTGTCACCCTAAGTCCAAAATTGCATTACTGGCAGGATCACCGGGTGAAAATAACATAAAAAAATGGAAAAAGAAAACAAATGCAGTTAGCACATGTAACATTTGTTCTTGGGTTTAGATACTCTACAAGAACTCTAGAGGTGCCCTTAATATGGGTTACAATTTACTTTAAAGCAACTGTGTAGATATTATAACAGCAAGTGTATGCTTTTGCATCAATGTACATTGTCTGTAATGTGTTGCGTTGTATAATATTCATGGAGTAAGCAAGTTATCAGAGTTTTTATTGTATGAATTATTATCTTTTTACTCAACTCTTTATCACTACATCACCAACCTCATCTCAAAATATCACCCAAACCATCCTCTTCACTCTTCCTTAGACCTTCTGCTCTTTAGCTACCTTTTCAGCTCCTTCCATGCTCATCTCTAGGACTTCTCCATAGCCTCGCTCATGCTCTGGAATTCTCTAACCCAGCCTGTACGGTTATCTCCTAGGTGATCCCTGAAAACTGATTTCTTCATCGAAGCCTCTTCAATCACACCTCTACCTGATAACTTGACAGTAAAACCCATTTCCACCTTTGGTGAGGTATTTAAAAAAAAAAACATATGCCAGCATTGTACATGAAGCAGGCATATGCAGTTGCACAGAAACGTATATTTTTTGTTAGCTTTCCTTTTCATATTCTCACGAAAATGGCTGCCTCTGTGCTTTGCAATCAATCTGTTTATTTTACAACTGAGCTTTCCACCCCCCATTCATTAGTATTCATAGTGGCACCCCCTTCCCACAACAACGTATTATCTGCAAAGGCAGAGGTGCTGTTTAGTGATCATGTTGTACAGAATCACAGGGAAGGGGCCAGCTGTTTACAGCCTGCTTTACAATCTGACCCAGGGGTCAGACTGAATTTCCTGTGGAGAAATGTTTTAATTGCTTGGATTCAGGCCTAATAAAAAGTTCATAAAAAAGAGAGAAAGCCTGCAGTGTGAGACATGAAAATTTGCACATGTATACATCATCACTGCACCTCTACATTAAGACAGTAAATGCTAATCACTTACAAGAGGTGGAAATGGACTTTAACTTTCCCCGTCAACTCATTCCAGCAAAGCTTTTGTATCACTTGCACCTCCCTTTTAGATTGTAAGCACTCACTTGTCTTGAACTGTTTTGTAACTTTACTGTCTCCCATTTTTCATAAATGGCTGTGCAAACTGTTGGCATTATATAAATCACGTGTGATAATAATGATAGCCAGTGCAAAACAAAAAAATTGATTAATGCACACATCAAATCATACACAATATGTATTACTGTCATTTGTGTTTAATTTTTTGTGTGTTTTGTCTCCACTGGAACACACCTATAAATCAATAATGAGCATAATGCTGTAAAAGAGAAGGGTAATGGTAGTACTTGGTTACTTTTTTCAGTAACAAATATTTTAAAGTATTTTTTAAGTAACACATTTTAAGTAAAGCTATTTTTAACTAAACTAACTAAACTTTTAAAAGTAAACATCGTGCCTATATTGATTGACATGAATAAAAAAAAATGATTGCAGCCTTAATGAACTATCTTACTAGAGGTCATAAAACCAGCATACCTATGTATCGTATTCTGAATCCTTTCTTGTTGGTGCCATGATCTGCAGACCACCTTAAGAAAACTTCATGTCCGCTGCTGGTTATGTTAAAAGTAGACGAATAATCCCCACTTAAGGAAATCAGCAGTGGATAGTGGCTGTTTGGTCCTGTTCCAAAGGAAATTTTGCAGATGAGCGCAGGCAAAACGTTCAAACTCAAGACAAATGCATTGTACGAAATGTCATTAGCAGAACAAAGGCATCAAATTAGACTCAACCACATAATGTTCCATTACCATCAAAAGCTTCCAGCATGTCAAACTCCTTTTCAGTATGGAAAAATTCAAAGATTAAGGTTATATTGTAGCCCTTCTCCACGCTAATGCTCCACGCACACATCTGAAGATTGGGGTAGCTGTCAGGATAGCCGGGACTTAGGATGATACCTGTCGAGTCTACACGTATTTCATTGGCCGGGCATAGCACTAGAAAAGACAAAGAATATGCAAGTTTCATAAAGAAAAAGGTTTATCTTGCCCTGCAGCTGTTTCACAGAGTTCTATTAAAAATTAAATGAATGCAAAGTTCTGTATGTGTGATCGGTTTGCAGAGGAAGTACCATTTATAACTATTGTTGTATAGAGATGTAGGAAAATTCTAATAGATAATAAAGTTATATTGTTTTACTTAAATAAAAAAAACTTGAAATATCATATAACATTACATATATTTATGCTCTTTGTTTATACAGTCGCATGTAATATGTGAGAAATCTTACAAAAATCTTCCCATAACAATATATCTACATTTCACCTATTTTATGCTTGTTATTTACCTGTAATATTCTCCCTTGTGTAAACATCCAAAAGCCCTGAGATTGCTTCTGGGTGCCACCATCTTGGATGTGGTGTCAACAGTCCCAGCAAACTCAGAGATGTCACTCATGTGGCACTCTATAGTATTCCCCTTTACATCACCACCCACGGCAAAATAAAAGGTTATGTAAGTAGGTGAGGGGAGAAACAGGGATTATTTGTCAGTACAGAAAGTATTTAGATAAATCAATAAGAGGAGAGAGCTATGACATGCAAGGATCACATTGTAATTTATTATTTTATGAATGGAAATAAAAGCACTGCAAGTTACCTTTGTTAACATACTATTTATTTTACCCCTGCTTTTACCTTCAATGTTTTAGATTGGTGATTGTGTCTCTTTAACAAACAATACATGTAGATTCTTATCCAGCACAATTTATAGTCCAACGTTCCTGCTAACGTCACATATTCACACTCACATGCTCTACAACCAGTACAAATAAATGCCAATTAAACAATTACAAAATATGAACATCTTTTTCATAAACCGGTTTTGTTAAAGAGATCTTATAAACAAACATGGATGAATATTTTAAATTACACTAACATTAAAAAAAGATGTTTCAAACATGACATTTTAATGTGGAGTGATATTTTAAAACAAAAACTTCCTCTTCCTTAATCCGATTAAAGAGGATTATTAACTGTCACAAACACAGCAGCTTTCACTGTTCAATAATGTGCCCAGAAAAAGTTACATAAATGTCATCATTCTTGATTATTATGGAAATGTCCTTAATACATAGTTAATCTTGTGTAACTTTTGGTAACTAATGCAATTGGTAAATCATTTTAAGTGTTTATTGATTACAAAAGATAGTAGCTAGTTGTTAAAAACAAAGTACTGTCACATTTCCAAAATAGGAAAATAACTACATTAAATTGTATAAATCACACCAAAGCTTTGAGTAACTTATCCATTTTAACTTTGTTGGTCTTTGACATTGTAAACTATATGGTCAAAGAACCCCCCTCCTAATGCCTGAGTTCAGATGTTTTCAGTGAATGATAAGGTTAATGCTGCAGCATACAAATACATTTTAGATAACTGTACACTTCCAACCTTGTGGCAACAATTTGGGGGAACGCCATTGTCCAACATAATTGTGTCTCTGTGCATAAAGGCAGCTCAATGAAGACACAGATTGACAAGTTTGGTGTGGATGAATTTAGTACATTTTTCATTTATTTAGCAAAACAGAAAATGCATGAAGAGAAGAAAGACCCAATTTCAACCATTTAGTATATCATACAGAGGGAGACCTCAAGATATAAGATTCCAAGAGATGATTCCAAAACTCAGCATATGTTAATGACTGAAAAAAGCAGTTGCCTAAATCTCAAACAGCTAAAAAAAACTGAATTATACACATTCAGTTTCACATAGGTATCCAAACTTGGTGAACGTTCACTACTCATTGCACCATGGAACATTTCCTTGGCTGCACCTGATGCTGTAAATCCATTTCTTTTCATTGATTCAGTCCTGTTAGATAGGAACTACATTTTTTGGGTAAACGAGACTTGCAAAGCCTCTCTTGTCAAAAAAAAAGTTTTCCCCCGTGCTTCTGGCAAATTCTTTATTTTCTATGTACGCTGCATGTGCCTTGCAGTGTAAACCCCAGTTAATTCTTGGCATGCCCAAGCTGGGTGGGAAAGATGGTGGTGGTTGGGGATGGAGTGGCAAAAGTAAGCCTGGATCTGTTATCACTTGAGATGGGCACATTGGGCGGTAAGTGTGCCATAATGTGTAAGAATTATGCACATACTTGCATATTAGGGCAAAAGAACACCCCACACAGCAGACTTCAGTTTCACCTTAAAGGAGAACTATGGGGTCAGTGTTTTTCCCCATAGTTCTCCTTAGGGTAACGGGAGGACACAAACTAGCGTCCTCCCGTTACCCTAAGCTCAGTATACCGCGAGCTGCAGCTCGCGGTATACTGAGACGCCGCAGCCGGAGCAGATCCCGACTTAGATGACGGGATCCGCCCAGCTGCGTGAGTGACAGCTGGCTCTGCCTATCTAGAGGCAGAGCCAGCTGTACCCACCCCCTCCCCCGTCCGTTAATGTCAGTGAATAATAATTTTTGTCATTCCTCATATGTGACAGATCAAGATTTTCTGCTCCTTGCCTAAGGTGGTGTAATTTTCTGGTACCAGACTAATATAAGAAATGAGTAATAAATTATCAAGGTTGGCATAATTCCTCGAAGCTACTGAGATGTATATATCTAATAGATGCTATAAGCGGTGGAGGTTATGCACGTACTGACAGCTTACATGGAAATGTACAATAAACAAATGTTTACAAATTTCTTTTTAAAAGACGCTGTCCCATTTAAATCAAATTAAATAGCAAGTGAGATTGGATCTTTGATATTGTGTTTGATTATTGTGAGACTCCGTATTGTTCAACTAAAAATACAAATGAGTGAGAAAAATGCAGCAGAAAGCAATGAAGATGATTTTCGCATTGTTATAGATACTAGAGGGCTGCAAATGTTGTAGTAAGCTGAGATTTTCTATGGTCAAGTAGTGACTTTGTTTCCTCCACAGTCAATGGAAATGGTCTGTGCTTTACAGGGCCAGTATATCCATAAAGGGAAAATATATTGCAGTGGTCCTGAACTCAAGCAGAGGACAGACTCCCCAATGCCTATCACATTAGGTGTTCAAGCTGCCTATGACGTTAAGTACTGTCTATGATTTTTTTTGTTTGCACTAGTTAATTTTTCTGACAAGCTTTTGGGGGCCTATCACATTCACTAAGGTCTAAGTAGTGCTGACACAACAGTTTAGCAAAATGATAAAGCGTATCTAAACCCCCTTTTTCAGATTTTATTCCTTTATTTTTACAGAGTAATCCTTCCAATAAAAAAAAAAAACTGTTTCTAGGTGGCTGTTCTCACTGTTCTACTGTATCTATAGATACAGTTGCTATCAACTGGTGTTTTCCATTTTCTGTACTTGCTGAAGCCGGAAGAATAAAAACGAATGCAACCACTCCAAGCTCACTCCTGTGATAGACTACAATCTCAATACAAATTAGTAAACTAATCATTGTTGCCCAAGGTCCACATGTGTATTGTAGAGTAGCCAGCGCTCCAAGCTTGCTCATGTGATGGACTACAATCTCAAGTATAGTTTACTACTTTTTATTGAAATGGTAGTCCACCACAAGAGTGAGTTTGGAACGGTGACTATGTTACAACACACCATGGGGAACAAAAGTAGCCACCTTCCAGAAGCAAAGACATTGTTCATGACACATGGCTCTGAGAATGAGTCATTGCTAGCAGCATAACTAAACATGAGATTGTAGTCCATCACAGGAGCGAGCTTGGAGTGGTGGCTACTTTACAACACACACAGGGACCATGGGCAATAAAAGTAGCCACCCTCCAGAAGGAAGGACAGTGTCAGCACCAATTCAGAGATGATTTGAGAATCTACAGCTGAGTGATACACAAATAAGATATATTTTTTGTTAATAGTTAAGGTATTTTAATGCATTTTGAAGATTTCACTCCAGAGTTTAGTGTCATTTAAATGACATTTACATTTTACAATTGTTCTGACCAACTTCACAATTAGAACTCTGTTTTCCTTATTTATTTTTATGTGCGACTTTGTTACCAGTTAACATAGTTAAATGATTTTAGCTCAAAAAGTACATTCAGCTTCATTCTGAGCTGCAATAGAAAATTCCATTAATGTGACAAGTTGTTTTATATCATCCACAAATTACCCCGCCTGGTTCAGTTGGAAAAAATAAAGACCTTAAAGGCTTTAAAATAGTTAACCAGAACAAAACATTTAAAAGCTAACAAAGCTTTTTTGCACCAACAATAACGAACTGAGAACAACCATCGAGAAAGCAAAATGTAATAAAGTAGAATCCTTAAAACAATACATAAATATATTGAAAGTGGCACACACCATAGGAATATATATCTACCTCTTTCTACCCCATTTTGCATTAATGGACTTTAGTTGAAGTACATTGCTGGAGTATATACTCGGTGTGAATGCTAATTTGGTAGTTTCTTCTAGTCTATATTTTAAAGATTGTTTATATGAGGAAACAAAGATTGTTTTTTCTTTTTATGTGCTTAGAAAAAGTTCCGTAGGCCAATAACACAGAATAGACTCATAATTTTAACAGTGCAGTTAACTGTTCCTAAAAAAAAATTCAAACCTGCAACATGCAACCAATATACTGTGAAATGACGAAAAAGGAGAGCGCCCACTCCATGTGAAGGATTCTTTAATAATTTGCTTTTAAAAAATGGTAATGTACTCACAAGAGAAAAGTGACACAAGCGTATTCAATGGTTCCCCTCACAGGAGGCTATCGCCCAACAGAAGCCACAGCACAGCACAGCCAAGTCATCTCACGACTGAAGTCCTACTACGGTCATGAGCTGACTTGGCCGTGCTGTGGCATCTGATGGGCGATAGCCTCCTGTGAGGGGAACCATTGAATACGCTTGTGTCACTTTTCTCTTGTGAGTACATTACCATTTTTTAAAAGCAAATTATGAAAGGATCCTTCACATGGAGTGGGCGCTCTCCTTTTTTGTCATTCTATAGATGTTATGGTTT